GGGGTGCCTCTCTTTTATAGTTTACTCAAACCTAGTCCCACTAGAAGCCTGACTTCTATGGACTCCATTTCAATACCGACTTTGGATTCTTCAAGAGATAAAGATAAACTCCCTAAGAGCTTTATCCTTATCTTGGCTAAGTTTCCTCGTTGTCCTAGGACTCCTGTCCCTTTTCTTCTTATCTCGGATTCCAATATCTTCGGAGATAACCTCGGCAACTCCGAGATCACCTCGGCGTAACTACCACGACACGTGGCACTTCGGCTGACATGTCGGCGTCGCCATGCCACGTGTTGGTATCCAAAAATATATCCCCATAACTGCCCTCTAGGTTCTATTACCTTGGCATTCTGAGGTGATGGAACCTATATCGGTACTTCCTACTCGTACGTCGGTTTAAAGTATCTCAGCCGAGATCACCATTTAAGGCCAACAGAATTCAAATGAACTCCACCACGCGCATGAGCTGTCATGCACATCTAACCGTTTCTTTCACGTGCTTTGTCTTCATTGGCCCGTGTCTGCGACGCGCCTGAAAGCTGTCTTTCACTCGTCTGCGCCGTCTGACGTGTGCGTTGCTCTAGGCGTAATAAACGCCCTGCTTTTTCCGCCGTTTCAAGTTTTTTGATAAAACTTTTCTTTCTCTCTTCCTTTATCCACTTTTTGCATTTCTGATTTCTTGTTTTCTCTCTCTCTAAAAGCTCTAGCATTCTTCGAATTTGCCATTTGCTCTAAGCCCCAAATTCTGTGACCATCTTTATTCTTCCATTCATGCGAAGCTTTCGCCACTGTTACAACCGTCGTCTGATCTCGGCGAATATCGCTCCGGCTTCATTTTATCTGGTGAGCAACTGGCCCTCCCTTACCCTCTTTTTTTTTTTTTCTTATAATTCTTGATTGTTTCTGAAGTTTCTTGCTATTACTGTTCTTCTTAGGCATTATTTGTGAATCATTCACCTGAATGCGTCTTATTTCATGATTTTTCACATGCTATGAACACTTTGCACTTTTTCACCACTGTTCTTGGCCCTTAACCTTTTTGTATTCTTCGTGTTCTTGATAGCCCATCCCGGTTCTTGTTTCTGAAACTTCGCTTTTGTTCTCTGTTTTTTGTATCTTTACCAGATCTGTGCCCTCGATCTTCGTCTTTATAGTTTAAGGTTTGGGATTTGTCTGTAGAACCTTCAATCTTTAGGAAAAACTGAAACAAACCTTACCAGTCCTTACCCAGGTTTGAAACCGAGGTTCTAGCAACCCTTCTGAAACACCTATCTTCTGAAACACAGCCTTCTTTGTTTAAGCTGACGTAATGGGTATGTGGAGACACCGGGTAAACACCCCAAGTAAACTTTAATTTTTTAGGCAAGAATTCTCTATTCCTGCCGATGTCCACCTGAGGCTGGCTGAAGATAATGACTCTATCATGCCCACGGATAATTCAATGCCCTTTCCTATAGTAGCTTTTACTGAGTGCGGACTCCGGCTTCCACTCAATCCCCTTTTTCGTGAGGTTCTCCACTTCTATAAGTTGAACCCCATGCAACTTACCATAAACTCCTACGAGTGATTAATGGTATCATAGCCCTAACTAGGCAGGAAAATGTTTGGATCACCCTTGCCGATGTACAATATTGTTATACCATGTGCCCCTTTAACCTGAAGGAAAGAGGTTACGTCTACTACCTCAAGCCGAGGTCTACTAAATTCAAAATTGTAGCCGACCTCCTGGACTCCAACAAGGGAGCCGGGGATGACTTTGTCATTGCTTCGGGAAATTGGGAATTTGGTCCAGACGAAGATGTTCACCTCTACCCTCTTCCTCGAACAGTTAAAGAGGGCAAGGGTAAGAGCCCAGCATCAATACTTAGTTATTTCTAAGTCTTTAAAACTTTGTTTGCTTCTAATGTCTGTTTGTTCTGTAGATCTTCATCAGCCACCAAAAAACTTTCGCCAATCGTACTTCCCAGGAAAAGATTTAAAGAAGCTCCTTGATCTTCCAATCCACAAGCGCAAAGCTCCACTGTTACTAAACTTTATTCCGACATACAAATCCACATTGCCCGACGTCCCGAAGAAAAAGAAGAAGAGCCTCTCTCCACCTACTGCCACAACTATAACCGCTTCTTCATCCCGAACAGATCAAGAGTCCACATCTAACCCAACCAATCAACCATCCACTTCGGCCCCATACTTGATCCCAATAGCAGAAAGAAAACATCGGCAACGCCTTGTCAAAACTGCCGAAATGGGTCGCGCAAAGCCAATTGCCCAAAATCTCCT